AATATTTTCAATATTTAAATAAATGTACCAAAATATTTTAAATTAAAAAATGAAAAAACATAAATAATAAAATGTGAATTTTAAAATTTTAAAAGAATAAAAATACATTTTTTTTTTTAGTTTTATTTATTTATTTTTTCTTAAACCCAAAGTAAATCCATGATTTTGATAATATTTTTATTTTGATATGTTTGTAATATATTCATATATTTATTTATTTGTGCTTAATGAATATATTTCTGTATACATATTTAGTTCGATTCTTCATTCGCATAGCTATAAATATAATATGCTCTTCTATCATACTCTAACTTCCTTTGAAGCCCTTTGACCCTTGTCACGCCACAAATCCTCTTGTTGTTGAAGTACGTGAAACGAAAGAAAAATCCGATTCTTAGCGCCAACTCAAAGATTGAGCAAAGAAACCGAAGGAATGGGCTGGAACGAAATAAAGCCTGAGTAGAATCTGTCCTAGTTCTATTTTTTTTAGTTTAAAGTGAATAGACATTCATTCGATTATAAAACTTTATTGAATTACTTAATAAATAGCTAAAATCAGTTAAGGAAATATAATAAATATAAACTTTATTGTAATATTTAATTTACTCCCTTAAATCTCTGTCTCTCTCTTTCTTTCTCTCCATCTTTCTCTCCATCTCTCTCTCTCGATCTCGCGCTGTTAAGTAGATTTTCATTCGACTCGATCAAACGTTGTTTCACTCCCATAATTGTGTATTTTCTTGTTATTTTTAATAAAGTGCCGAGCGACGTGAAAATATAAAAAATGCAAAAGACGACGAAAAGAAAAGCCAAAAAAATAAGAAAGAAAAACGGCGAGTTGCTGCTGAAAAAGTTGCGTAAATTTGTTATGTGTTTTCTTATTATATTTTTTTTTTTACAATATTTTTTTTGTTACCCTTTTTTCTTCGGCTTGTCTTACTTATCGTTTTGCTGTGTTTTTTTTTGTTGTTGCTGCTTATTTTGTTAACTTTAATAAATAAATAAGGCGTGGGCATTGCCATGACCACAAAATACAGTAGGACGAGCGGCTGTGGGGAGTAGGAGTGCCAGGGGCAGCGGCAGCGGCAGCATCCATCCGCAACCCTTGCCAAGCAATCATGCATCCTTTACATGCGCCGCCACACTACGCCGCAGCGCGCTGCCAGCCTGCGCTCTGGCCCCGTAGTTCCGTTTCCGGCGCCAGCCATTTGCATCTACAGAAAGACGAAAAAAAAAAACGAGAGAAAAAACAACAACATTTTCTTTCATTTATTCGAAGGTTCTGCGACACCCACCCACCCACTGTCCCTCCCTCTCTCTATATATATACATACGCATACATATATTTATGTCGTGTCGAAGAAGAAGAAGCAGATGAGATTTCTTTTGCTTTTTTAAAGAAGAAAAAACACGCACACACACACACACACAATTCTGGCAACTGGACTTGCAATGGTCAGGCTATTGCTGGTTGGGTCAAAAAAAAAAAAAAAAAAAAAAAACAAAGAAAAATAGGAAGGCTGCTGCAATGAGTGGGTGGCGACACGAGGGGGTCTGGTTGGCCGGTTGGTCGGTTGGCCGGCTGGGTCTCTGCTGTAACGGGTACACAAATTTTTATTCAACCTACTCAATTTTTCGCCTTAATTTCTTTTTTGTTTCTTCGACTGCCAAGGGACACCGCANATTTATGTCGTGTCGAAGAAGAAGAAGCAGATGAGATTTCTTTTGCTTTTTTAAAGAAGAAAAAACACGCACACACACACACACACAATTCTGGCAACTGGACTTGCAATGGTCAGGCTATTGCTGGTTAGGAAAAAAAAAAAAAAAAAAAATACACAGAAAAATAGGAAGGCTGCTGCCAAGAGTGGGAGGAGACAGGAGGGGGTCTGGTTGGCCGGTTGGTCGGTTGGCCGGCTGGGTCTCTGCTGTAACGGGTACACAAATTTTTATTCAACCTACTCAATTTTTCGCCTTAATTTCTTTTTTGTTTCTTCGACTGCCAAGGGACACCGCAGCCAAGAGGCGGTAATAAGAATTTTTTCTTTAGTTCTTACTCCGTCTCGCTCTATCTCTCTGTCGTTCTCTCTCTCTCTCTCTCTCTCTTACTGTTGCTCTTGCTCTGTCAGCCATTCTCTCCACCCTTAAGTTTGCCTACCGTCCCTCCTCCCCTGGAGCTCCGCTTCCACTTGCCGCCTTCTGTGCGTGTGCGCCGGAGTGTTTTTTCCGTATTTTTAATTTAAAATACGAAGCATAAAAAAAAAAATAAAAAACAAAAAAATTTTGCTGAAGAAAATATCAAATGCGCTTGGGGTTGAGTGCGGCTCTCTGAGGCTGGTAAGGGAAAAAAAATTGAAATAAAAAAAAATATATATGTATATGTATATGTATAAAATGAATCCCAACGAAACGAAACGAAAAGAAAAGCATCTCCGTCGCACTGCTTAAAAGAAAAACTTCTGAAGTAAATATTTGTCTGTCCAATTGCTGCGACGGGCAACTGCCAACTGCACTGCCCATCACGGAATGTGCTTGGTCAGCGGGGAGGTGGGTGCGGGTCAACCGAGTGGGCGTGGGCCAACTGGACTCAGTTAGTGACCATGCCAAATGGACCCAAGCCCAAGCCCAAGTCCCAGCTCCTCTCAAAGACAAACGCCAGCCGTAATGACTGAACCCAGCCCCATTTCAAGCTCTAGCTCTAAGCCAGAAAAAAAAAAAACAGCCCAGCTTCTTTTTTTTAGTGCTGCCTGTCTAACTGACTCTTGTTGGACAGTGTAGGTGCCAAATAAAATGGGCGTGGTTGAATTTAGGCGACACTTTGAGGCGCAGTCAAATATATTCGGCATTTTTCCAGCAAAAATGGGCTAGGGATGTATCTATCTAGATTTGGAATAAACAAAGTTTAGGTTTGTGTTAGATAAAGATAAAGGCTGGGAAGAAAGACTGATGAGATGATAGAATTAAACAGATAGAGAAAGAGAGAGGGAAAGAGAGATGTTTATCAAAAGAAGTTGAATAGAAAGAAACAGAAAACAAGAAAAGAGAGCACAAGAGAGAGATACATCAAGGAAATAAGAGGAGAGAGAGTGAGAGACGATGAACGGAAGGACAAGATAAAATAAATATGGGCAGAACGAAAAGAAACAATGCCAAAGGAGATAGATAGAGAGGAAAGATAAGATATCGATGTATTTCTTCTTATGGATAGACAGACTATCTCTGTTTACAATAACTAGATTTTCCTATCTACCATTATATTTCTTCTTTCCTAGGTATTTGAAGAGATGCCGAGTAAAAGAAGAAGAAGAAGTGGAGGAAGAAATATGGAGGCCATGGAAGAAAGCTCAGTAAGAGAGACAGAGAAGATTAGAGACTAGGAAACTAGAGAGGTTCAAGAATTGAAATGAAGATTAAAGAATGGTGGATGAAGAATGAAACAAATGGGATTGAAATAAAGTGAAATGTAAACGAAGAGAGCGAATGACCGTAAGAATGAGAATGAGAGAGACTAGCTTGAAAAGAGATAAGAAATTTGAGTGCAAAGTGAAATGGGACAGATTTCTAGCGCTTTTCTCCTTTTCAATAGATTCAATTAAATTTAATTGTAAGTGATTTGCCTTTATACTAATTGATCCATTTTTTAAAATGTATATTACAGGGTCTGTTGCGCACCGCGGAGCAATTGAAAATCAAAGGACTGTGCGAGCCGGCCGAGAATGCGGACGATTTGAATGACGCTGCATCGGCGATAATCACTGTATCGGAGAACATACAGCAGGCGGTCGTTGGCAATATTGTGAATGCGAGTCTAGTGTCTGGTGCTCCGTCGCCCACACTCGAGCAGCAACAGCAACATCATCAGCAACAGCAGCAGCAGCAACAGCAGCAGCAGCAGCAACAGCAGCAGGAGCACCAGCAGCAGCAATTGGTGAATAGTGCGCTGCTGGCCCAGCATACGCTTGCCACCAGCAGTGGCATACAGTTGGCGGCAGGGCAACAGCTGTTGAGCAATACAGCCGGCGGCGGCAACAGCAGCAGCAGCAACAGCACTAGCCTGCAACAGTTGCAGCAGCAGCAGCAGCAACAGCAACAGTTGCAGCCAACGCCGCGTAAATCGCGACTGCGTAAACGCTCCAAATCGCCAGATTTACAGCTACAAACACAATCGCAGCAGCAACAGCAACAACAGCAGCAGCAGCAGCAACAACAACAACATCATCATCATCCACAAACGATACTCATCCAGGGACAGAATCAAACATCGATCGTGAGTCTGCAGCAAACGGCCGACGGCAATTATATACCAGTTGCAACAACTGGCGACGACTCCGATTGCGATAATAAGCCGCAAAAGATTTGCAAGACAGAGCAGTCGGTGGCCTCGCCGGCATCCAACTCGTCCACATCGAATAATGCAGCGGGCGTGAGCGGCCAGGCGATTGTGACACAAATTGTAGTAGCGCGCGACGGAAAAGATAAAAATATGACTAGTTTAGGCATGGGCATGGTAAGTGTCGCCGCAGCGCGTACAAAGCTGCGTGCCGCGTCGCGTCCCTTTCTCTCTCTTTTTGTATTTGTCTCAGTCTCAGTCTCAGTCTCAATTCAAATGAACAATCAATCAAACAATCTGTTAATCAATCAATCACTCAATCAGACTCAATGACCCACATAGAGCACTCTCGTGTTGCTCTATCTCACTCACACACACACACACACACACACACCCACATCATATATTTGGCGAGCCGTGTTTTAACATATATTATCTCTTCTCCTCCTCCTCCTATTACCCTCCCCCACTTGCTCACTTGCTCAACCTCCTACCCATCTGCAGAACGGCGGTCTGTTGGGCGTGCCCATGGGCTTTCTGGACTTCACACCGGAACCACCAGCACCATCGGCCACACCAGTCACCGTTACGGAACACGTCGATCTATCGTGCAACCCCAGCACCGACACACGCGATCTATCAAGTGAGTTTCTGGTAGAGTGGTAGAGATTTATTCATAGGGCTAAGCCATTATATGGAGTTTACGATGTGTATTGGGGCAAAAGTTTTATGTCTATAAGTATTACTATAGTATTTAATAGATTGTATTAATTGAGAACGATTATTATTATATTATATATATTACATACATATCATAAAGCTAATAAAATATTTTACAAATTCATAAGTATACGATAAAAGAATTTGATTAATCATAAGTAAATCTGATGAGCTTTTGGTGTAGCTAAATAAAAAATTGCCTTATCATCACTTTTAGTTCAAACTGCTAAAACTCCTAAATGGTAAATTATATAAAGAACACGTATTTATTAAGATAAGTTATTTAAAAGGCTATTTTAATTACAATTAACCACGAAAATATATTTCCTATTTTTTTTTTTTTTTTTTTTTTTTTTCGTTTTATATTGAATAGTTTTACAAATTTTAGAATAGATTTTTAAAGTTTTCTAAACTAAAAATAATTTAAATTTTTACTAAAAATAAAAGGTTAGGTATTTGGATTTTTTTTATTTTTATTTCTTTTTATTTTGAGCAAATGCGCAATAAATAAATTTGTTTAAAGCAAATAAGTTTTGGTTTATTGTATAGCAAACTAACATTAACTAAACATTATATATAATTAAGTTAAGCCAAAATTAAATAGTTTAACATATTAAGTAGAAAATTCAATTTGTAAAGTCTACAAGCATAATAATTGTTTTTGTTTTTTTCTCTCTTTTTAGATCCCACCGAACAGCTCGACATAGACAATCATTTGGCTCAGCAAATCCATCGGCTCGATCAATCTCCCATGCACTCGATAGCGCACCATCATGCCACCGGGGACGAGAGCAACTCGAATCTGGTGCAGCATATCAAGAGCGAGGTAATCGAGGCCAAGCATCTGGCTCATGTGCAACAGCAGCAGCAGCAACAGCAGCAGCAACAACAGCAGCAGCAGCAACAACAACAACAGCAGCAACAGCAACAGCAGCAACATGCAGCACATCATCATCAGCATTTGCACGCTCAGCAATTGTTGGCGCAAAGTCAGCAGCAACAGCAACAACAACAGCAGCAGCAGCAACAGCAGCAGCAGCAGCAACAACAGCAACACCAACAGCAGCAGCAGGCGGCGGTGCATGCAGCACAGCATGCAGCGCATGCCACGCATGCGGATATTGGTGGTGCCACCGTCATGGAGATTGATCCGAGCCAGATCAAGCACGAGCCGGGCATGATTATAACGCCAGAGATTGTCAATATGATGTCCACCGGGCATATGGGTAAATAAGCAAATAGCAGCAGCAACTCCATATTAATATTCAATTTTATTAATTTTAATTTCTTTTTGCTGTTTTTGTTTCCCCCTTTAGACATGTACAACTCGGATACGAGCGAGGACTCAATGATGATCGCCAACGGTTCGCCGCACGATCAGAATGAGCCGCATTATACGAATTTGGATCAGCAGCACGGCGGCCTGGGTGGCAGCGTATGCGGCCCCGGCGCCGGTGGTGTTGGCGGTGGTGGTGGTGGTGGTGGTGGCGGCATTGGTGGTGGTGGTGTTAATGCTGGCGAGAAAGGTCAGTTTAATGGTCCCAAAGCTTGGACACAAGATGATATGAATTCAGCTTTAGATGCATTAAAGACCCAAAACATGAGCCTGACGAAAGCATCTGCCATTTATGGCATACCATCAACGACCTTATGGCAGCGTGCTCACCGTTTGGGCATCGAAACGCCTAAGAAGGAGGGTGGCACCAAATCGTGGAACGAGGATGCCCTACAGAATGCCTTGGAGGCATTGCGTTCGGGTCAAATATCGGCTAATAAAGCATCCAAAGCGTTTGGCATACCCTCATCGACGCTCTACAAGATAGCGCGTCGGGAGGGCATTCGGCTGGCGGCGCCATTCAATGCCGCACCAACCACGTGGACGCCCGAGGACTTGGAGCGTGCATTGGAGGCGATACGCGCTGGCAATACGTCTGTACAGAAAGCAAGTGCCGAATTCGGTATACCGACAGGTGAGTTTCAGTCGTTTCCAACGAAGTCAGGCCCATCTGTCATCTGCCGTCTCGTCTGCCGTCTCGTCTATCACAATTTGTGAGCTCTTGCCTAGTGGTTCGTTCTACTAGCTACTCTTTAAGGTGTAACTGTTGTTATTCATATGTTTTATAGGCATTTCTGTGCCTATCGTTGATTTCTAGAGACTGTGTTAATTGCTTGCTCGTTACTTTTTATGGGAATACTTAATGATATTCCTTATAATCTACTCCTTGGTGTTTCTACGCACGTTGACATTGAAGTGTCATTTGATATCTTATGAAAACTCCACCTAGTAACTTGTTTCTATGCTCTATCTATGCTCTATTGATTCAAACTCGATATGTTTGATTGTATTGACTGGAACTCCTCGACGTTAATCTGTCACTCGCTGCTTTCTATAAACTGAGTCTATATATAAACTGAGTCTATATATGAGTCTATATATTCCCTGAGGGAAGTTTTTCTGTCTTTTACTGTCAGACTTATATATGATACTAGTCACTCGTTACTTCTGTACATTATTGATGTACTCGCTGGTGTAGTTTCTCAGTCACTCGTTACTTTCTCTTACCCTGGCTGTTGATCCCGGTTTGCTAACAATGAATTGTTTTATCCATATATTATGATATATGCTAAGCTCGATATTACTTCTATATTTCCTATATACATTCAATATACTCTTATATTATACATATATGATAGTTATATATGCACATCTTCTCGCTACTTCTGGGTTTCACTCGTTGCTCGTCTCTCTTTACTAGATTACATCTATATAGAAGCCACAGCTTAGCTACATGAACTCTCTTGCTATACTCTCTATATGTATGTCTCTCGTTAATATAATGAAATATGGATTTTTACTCAGTAAAGCAACTCTTTTCGAGTCACGCTTTGATTGTGTTGTTTCCACTTTCTTTCGAGCCAATATCTCATTCTTTTCTCTGGCACTTCTTCATCGTTGTTTATCATTTGCACTTTTTGTTCACTTCGCTAATTCTTCGACAATTCTTACAACGCCAAAGGAACACTTTATGGACGCTGCAAACGGGAGGGCATCGAACTGTCGCGTTCGAATCCAACACCTTGGTCCGAGGATGCTATGAACGAGGCATTGAACTCGGTGCGGTAAGTGCGCCATCAATTTGAATATGTTTCTCTCTGGTACGCAACTAACATTGATTTCGCTTTGCTTTTATAGCGTCGGTCAGATGTCCATCAATCAGGCGGCCATACACTACAACCTGCCCTACAGCTCGCTCTACGGCCGCTTCAAGCGTGGCAAATACGATGTGGTGGCCAATACAAGTGGCATCTCGATTAACAACACGTCCGGCAATACGACCGGCAGCATTGAGATTATCGAACATAGTCAGGAGAATTCGGTAGGTTTCATTTCACCATAGAGTGATAAGAGTCGATGGGAAAACTCTGTTTGAAGTCAACATTTATTTAGTTCGGCTAAAGCTTAATTATTGCAGAAGTATATATTTCATTTTGGGGAGTCTTTCTTGAAGTGTTCAGATGGTATAGCAGGCAGAGATAGAATAATTCATATTATTAGATTTAAGTAATTTACTGTTAATAATATAGCACTGTCTATAGATATTTGCTAATGCTTAGTATAGCAGCTGAAGAGTGCAGTAAATAATCCTATAATAAACCTATATTTTTTTCAAGCTATATATTTTTGACAAGCTATCAGATCTAGACTGATTCAGATACTTATTTATGCAGTATAATATTTTTTATAGACTAGATTATTTACTTACTTAGTATTCATTCTATTAAGGAACTTTCAAGTAAAGTGTTTGCTTCAACAGGGCAATCTAAGGGCCATTAGGATTTGGAAAATAGTTATAGACTCTTAAGCTTAAGCTTAGGAAAAAAAAAAACAAAAAATTTAAATGATTTCAATTTTACACTCCACTTAATTATCTAGGTTAGATAAAGATGTAAGCCATTCAAGTCTGTGCTATTTAAAAGCTATCAATAGCTAGAACGTTTCTATATACTAATAGTATTGATTGTTATAATCTTTATGAAGTGTGGAGTCGAAACAGATTATTTTTATGCCTTATGCACATAGTCAGTTACATAGATCATATCGTATTGCCTATTAATATACATATACACACCCACACACACACCCGCTCACCCACCCACACCCACACACACATATACTGGCCGCTTTGACTAACCGTTAACAAATTTATTTATGCGTAGTTGCATATGTTGCAGCATCAGTTCCCGTACAGTCCGTCGCCGCATGCGCAGACGCCGCAGCATCACGGAACGCCGCAGCATCATGGCACGCCGCTGCATCACAGTACGCCGCATCACAGTTCGCAGCAGGGGCCGCCGACGCCGCAGGGCATGCAGCAGCATGTGGTGCACATGCAACAGTCGCCACATCAGGCGCATCATCAGCAACAGCAGCAGCAGCAGCACATGCAACAGGATGTCGTCACATCGAGCAGCCAGGTGGTGCACAGCCAACAGCAGCAACAGCAGCAGCAGCAGCAGCAACAACAGCAGCAGCAGCAGCAGCAGTTGCAGCAGATCTATCAGCATCACGGCACGCCCGAGCGTAGTTGAGAATCACTGCACGCCGCGGCTATGTTGGGCGGCGGCGGCAATATCAGTGGCAGCACGGCAGCAACAGCAGCAACAGCAGCAGCAGTAGCAGCAGCAGCGGCAGCAACACCATTTGCCAGCATAACGGGTCTGGGCAGCGGGGCGACTGCGACGCCAGCGTCGACAGCGGGCACCAGCAGCAAGCGCAAGAAAGCGACCAAGCAAAAGCGTTGAGAAAGCGCCGCTGATGCAGCTGCCAGCTGCTGCAAGAGAGAGAAACAGGAGAAGATAGAGAAGAAGATGAATGTTGTTAACACTGTTAACGCTGCCACGCCCACCAACACAAATGCCACCGTCGCCGCCACCATTAAATTTCGCTTTAATGCGAAGCATTGGAAGCGCAAGTTGAAGCAGTTTCATTTGTTATTGTCGAAGCCAACTTAAACCAACAGAGGGAGAGACCGAAAATGAGAGAGACAGACCGAAAAAGAGAGAGGGAGGAGGGAGGAGTGATGATGAGCAAGGAATGTAGACATAATGAGCATATATATTAAAGCGCGAAGACAAAGAGAATGTCACTTTATTTTCAGGAATTCAAAAAATGAAAACCAATCAAAATCCAATAAGAAATTTTCAAAAATGAAAACTTGAAGCATTAATTACACAATTTGAAATGTGTATCAAATGTAAATAATTATTAAATAATTTTTAACTGTAAATGAACTATTATGCTTTACATTACACTACACAACACACGACACAACTCGAAATCGTTAGAGCAGCACTTTGTTAGTTATTTAAAAGAAAAACAAATTATTATTATTATTACTATGGGACAAATAACTTGGACGTGTGTTATATTTTTCATATATATATATAAAGTCATTGATATAAACATTACATAAATTTTAAGAGCCAAATCGTGGCAAATGCCCGATTTATTGTTTTGATAGCAGAATTTTGATTTTTTGTTCACTTTTCTATTTAATTTAGTGTGAGACTGAAAGTGCGCCCCAAAACAAAAACAGAAAACACACACACACACACATAAATACATACATATACACAACTATGAAAGAGGAAATGCTTTATATTTTTGTTTTTTAGAGAAAGAAAGAGAGAAGAAAATACCTTAAAACTTATAGAATTAAACCAAATGCATCAAGGTCTTAGCAATTAAACTCATTTAAAGTAAGTAAACGTCAAGAGAACAACAACAAAACAATTTGAATTTTAAAAAGGCAAAAGCGTGAAGCAACAAAAAAAAATAAAAATAAAATAAAATATATCTAAGAAAATGTAGCAAAATGCATAACTATATAATTGAAGTAATATGAAGAGATATGCACATGAAATGAACAGCAAGAAAATATTATTTTTGATAAAAGAGACAAAGAAAACCTTGTAAACAAAAATGTCAAAATTACAAAATTCTCCAATTTTGTTAAGATTAGAAAATAAATTTGTCAAAAGCAAATCAAACTAAATAGACATTGTAACTAAACTAATAGCAATACATACACACACACACATACACTCACATATTTAGTAACATTTTGGCTAGTGTAGGCGAGTGTCAACTATATAAATATATATATTATTATATACAAAAATAAAGTCCAAAAACAAACTGTTCTATCACAAGACCCATGGAAAATACAACATGAAATAGTTTTTTATTTAGACGTTAGAGGGCGCCACACAAACGATGCATATAGAACTCTGTAAGTGTTTAGACAAAAACCTATCAAAAAATGGAAAATGTAAGCAAAATCAAATGAAATTCAAAAAGTTAAATTTTACAACATTTAAGAAGAAAATAATGTAAAAAAAAAAACAAAATTTTAAATTGACAAGAAAATTTATATAAAAAAGAATATATAAAGAACTTTGTATAGCTTCCATTAGTTTATAAAAACAGAAACCAGCGAGTGCTGTATACACCGATCACAAATACACACACACATATATATACAGAGAAACCACACACACACACACTTATACATATTTTTGAAGCTACTTCAAGTTTTGGTTTCAGAAAAAGGCGAAAAAGCGAAGCCAAGAAAAAACAGGAAAATAACAATTTATTTTTTGAAAAAAAAAATCTTTGTACATATATAAATTAACATACATTTTAGTTTTTAGGAAATGAAAAGAAAGAAGAAAATAATATAAA